GTAACTGAAGTATCTTATTTAAATGAACAGATATGGATTTTCTTTAGCTATTTTTGAGTCAGATTCTTGTGACTTTTGCAATCATTGCTAATTTCTGCTAAAAGAATTAAAGACAATAAAATTTTCTTTGTGATATAAAAGTTAATTTATTTAGTCTGAGTTAATCTCATTAGAAAATAACAGAAGCTCAGGTGTAATATTGAACAGAAGGCTGTAATGTGAGTGAGGAGCTCTGAGAGAACTGCTAGGAAGGTGGTGGAGGTAGATGGAATGTTGGAAACAGCTAAACCAGAGAGAGAGAGAGAGAGAGAGAGAGAGAGAGAGAGAGACAGAGAGAGACAGAGAGAGAGAGAGAGAGAGAGAGAGAGAGAGAGGACACGGACAAAAACTATGATAATTTCCAGTACGTAACAATGTCAGTCTGTATCAGATCCTCATAAAGAAAAGAAAGAGTGTAGCATCATCCACATTCACTGTGTTTCCAGTTTTCTACTTATTAAAAAGTAATAATTCACTTATTATTCCATACAAGAAATCTTCACACTATATTATTCATTTCACAGTGGCTTTCAGGTACAGAAGCAGTGAAAGGTGAGTATAATTCAGTGTGTAGTGTTTTTATTGTGATGAGCTGATTGTTGATGAAGAATGTTTGTGTTGTAAAGACTGAATGTATTTATCTGTACTGTGTGTTCAGAGTGTTCAGCTGAACATCATCAGCAGAGAGAGTTACTAACACACACTTCAGCTCTGTATGTATCACTATAGTGTAGAGCTCACAGCAGCCTGAGATGACTGAACACCATTAATAACACTGCTACCTCATTCACACAGTCTCACACACACAGTCTCACACACACACACACACACACACACACAAACACACACACACACACACACATACACACACACACACACATCATTAATATAATCAGAAATTTGTGTTAGAATCATTTCCTTACATGAACTTTAACAGCAGAGTCACGTTTATATCAGCATTTATATTTAATACTGTTCTATGAAGACAATAATGTAACTTATAATGAGATATAAGTAGTTGGTCAGTAGGAACATGCGGTAAATGTTTTAATTACAGAATAAAAAGATACAAATACGTTGCAAACATTCCACAAAAAGTCACACTTACTGAGCAGAAGATCAGGCTGACTTCTCAGAAACTAAAGAACAGTAGATATCCAGCTGTATAAAAGGCTTTAGTTTATGTTTTAGTGCTGAATACGTTTCCGTGTCAAACCCTGAACATGAAGTATCAGTATAATCTGTGGCTCAGAAAGTGAGCAGGTTATCATTATTATAAAGGACTTAAAGGCATAACTGATTATTCCAGCTGGAGCTCTTTAGAACTGCACACCATCTTCATGTCGTACTAAAAGAACACAAAGGCATAATGTTTTGTGTTATTATGTGTTTTCAGTATTTTAAAAGTTCTTTCTTTTCTCTCTAATCTGATTCTGCTCCACTTGATAAAGTCTCCATTTCTCAGGTGAGCACATTATTTTAAATGGACCACATTTCCATAATAATCTGCTTTAACATGATATTTAAATCTATGAATGTACACATTATTGTGTGTAAACGCTGTGCAGGGCTGATTGTTGATAAAGTCTACATTAGTTTATTTTCTTCTTTTCTGTTGATTCTCTTTCATGGTGTTGAGTTGAGTGTTAGTACAGTGTTGATGCTGATCAGTGTTCTGTAAGTGATCATGATCCTCAGAAGCTGCAGAGCGGCACCTACTTAAATTCCTCTTTTCTGATTCTGCGTTTCTGTGGATCTGTTACTCACTTCCGATGAGCTCATGACTGATGAATGATTTATTATGAAAACTAAAAGTATAAAATGAAAAATATTTCTGATTAATAAAATATTGCCTGTGATGATCACAGCTCAGTTTCTGTAGTGTATCTGAGTCTGTCAGACTGTGTTTAAAGTCACACAACTGCAAATGGAAGATGTCACTGTCAGTTAAGACATCATCATCAGCTCTGCTCATATTTCAAACACTCTGATAGACAATTACAGTTAATTATGTATGAATTCATACATTAATTAAAATGAAATTATATTTATTTTTTATTATTTATTTTGGTAAAATCCCATCAATACAGTTTCTATTGTTATTAATATCAGCTCTCCTAGTGATTCATACTGACACATCAACATTGATTTAAGCAGAAACAGTTACTGATCATATAACATACAGTATGACATCATGCATGAAATCTTAACACTGTTTTATTCTCTTTTACAGAGAGACAGAAACTGGACAGAAGAGGAGAGACTGAAAATGGAGGAATCTGCTCTGCTGACCGGTGAGGATGAACATAGATATTTATTTTTGTATATGTGTGTGTGTTTAAGTTAATTTGGTATTGTAGTGTATGAGGCATAGGCACATCGGAAGGATCCATTTGCAGGTTTAATAATCCAATAAATAGAGTCCAAGAACAGACATTGGTCAGATACAAAACATAACAATGAACAAAGTCCAACAGTCCAAAGAGACAAAAGCCCAGGTAAACAAACAAACGGTCAAAAAGCCAGAAACAAATTCAAAACACAAAGTGGAAGACTCAGGATTGCTGGGAGAAAACAACCTGCAATGAGGTTTGAAGAGGGGTCTTTGTAGGAGAGGTAATCAGTGAAAGGAAAAACAGGTGTGAGGAAGGAGTGACAGCCTCAGAATTCAAGGTATGATGACCTCTGGTGTCCAAAGTTGGTAGTGCTACTGACAGGTATAATGTAGAGTTAAGACTGTTTGTGAGTTTTGTTGAGAAATTTATGAGGTTTTACATCAAAAGAATTATATTGAGATATTCATATGAAAGTAATAACACTAAACATCTGTGTAAGTGATTTTAAGGAGAAATTCTTTTTAACTGTTGTCTTTTTCTCTCTCCTCTATATATTTAAAGCAGTCTCAGATGTACAGCCATAAGCAAAAGTTTGGGCACCCTGGGTCAAATTACATTTTTTGTTGATTTCAGTGAAAATAAGTGAAACCTTTTTTGTCTTAGTATATTAAACTCAACACATTAATAAAAAAATAGTGCTCTAAAATTTGCAGCCATGTTTAAGTGTGTTCTCTGTACAGTGTGTTTGTGCCAGAAAGACAACAAGACAAAGTTTAATTAGGAGTCCTCAAACTTTTACATTTGACTGTAAATTAGTAAATCTAAAAATGTTCTCTGTAATGATGTTTTGTTGTCCTTTCAGATATGAAGAGCTGAATGGTGTCTGTCTGTGATGTGTGTTGTTTGAGTGAACAGAGCTGTGAGTTCAGAGTTTGATACAGTGTGTTTGAGATGGTCATCTGTGTTTATCTGGACATTCAGTAAGTCTTCAGTGAGTCGGGTCTAAAGGCTCTTTACCTGAAGATCAGTGTTCGTTAGAGCTGCAGGCTGTTTTGTGGCAGGAGATGCAGATGCAGATGTGAGTTTAGATCTTCAGAGATTCCTCTGTTTCTTTCTCTTATTATGGAGGGAATGTTGGATGGATGGATGTTCATATTTGTTTTTTTCTTTTATATCTCCTCGTCATCATGCACTGAGGCAGCTGGATGCAGAGTTAATGATTGGTGTTCTTTAAAAGGTCATTCAGATTGACGAGTGCTGTGTGGTCAGTTGTTGTAGAAGATGCAGTGTCTTCATTCACACTACAGCCTTTTCCTTTTCCAGGCTGCTGCTACTCCTTTATACTGGCAATAATATCAGGATAACATGAGAGATAAATTATTACAAGAGACACAATAATATAGGGATTATGGGTCCATGCTAATATCCAATATTTTTCATTTCTGTCTCTGCTGATACTGATACATTTACAAACTGTAATAACTGGGACTAGCTCTACATTAATTAGCATATAATTTATTTCTGTAGGGTTACAAATGCAGTAAAATGAATAAAATACAGATTTTCTAGCACAGCATCTCTAACATTCTGTTCCTCCAGAGTAAAATAAATACATCAGCAAATATCATTCTACTGACACCGATATAATTCACTGTAATCTGTAACTTATAGCTGGTTTTGTTTGATTCTAAAAAAAATCTGTAAAAACCCCAAATGTGACAGAAGAAAAATTAATCTATTAAATCTGAATCATCATTTCAGAATTAAAGAGGAGAGTCTTTCTGTACTGAAGAACTTAAAGAGCTTAACTGAAGAAAAGAAAGCAGAGGAGGAAAAGCTGAAGAGAGCTGAGATTGAACTGGAGAACTAAGAGAGAGAGAGACCCTCAGAGAGATCAGTGTGGAGATCAGAGAGATGCAGGAAAGAAGAGTGAGAGAAAGAGTGGAGATGAGACAAAGAGAGGAAGAGGAGATCAGAGGAAAGATGAGAGCTGTTGTGGATGATTTGAGGAGCTCAGAGGAAGCAGTTAAAAAGATAAAGGAGAGAATAAAACAGCATGAAAAACAAAAAGATGAATATAAGCGAAAGTTATCAGAAGAGAGAAATGAGGAGAAGAGGAGAGAGCTGGAGAGAAAAGTGGAGAGAGAAGATGAGCAGATGAAGGAGGCTGAAGAGGAGCTGAAGAGGATGCAGGAGGAGAGGAGGATGATGGTGAAGAAGCTCAGACTGGAGATGGAGATCAGAGAGAGGAGTGCAGTAAAAGCAGATACACACTTCATCAGGAAGCTGCCTGAACTCATTACTCAGACTGTTATAACAAACAGACAGAAAGAGTTTGATAGAGAGATGAATGAAGAAGAGAGAGCGATAGAAAAACTGAAACTAAACCTCTCAGAGATGGAGAAAGAAAAAGAAAAGCAACTAGAAGCGAGAAAAAAGACTTTAGAAGAACATACAAGAACAATAGAGAACAAAAATAAAACAATAGATGAGAAGAATGAACTGCTGAGAGAGAAAGAGACTCTACTGGAGATCACAGTGAAAGAGGTGGAAAGCAGTAAAAAGCAGCTGGAGACTCTGAGAAAGGAACTGCAGGAGAAGAGCAGCAACTACAGGAGATGATGATCCTACTGGAACAACAGAAAACTGAACTCACCCGTCAGCAGAAAGAGTTAGAAGAGGAAGAACAACAACTGAAACACACAGGTAAGAATTTAAGACACAGACTGATTGTAAAATATCTGACTGATAAATTAATATTCTGTCTTTATCATTTCAGCACAACAGAATTCTGACCTACAGACTGAAACTGAAACCCTGACAACTCTCATTTCATCACAGACGACTGGTGAGTTTCAGGTTTAACCACAGTAACCTCAGTCTTTATGTTCTTTAGAAAATATTATGATCAAATAATCACATTAATAAATTCATCACCTTTAATTCATCTTTCCCATTAATTAGCAAGTGAGGTTTTCTGACTCTTCTTCTTCTCACTGATCTTTATCAGACTTTCCTAATGGGAAGATACAGTCTAGACATTGTTAATGTTTTAGTACTGACTAATAAACAGAAGCCTTTGATATCACTGTGCTGAAAATATGTGATCTCATGGGGGTGACGGTGGGTGGGGCAGGGGAGCATTTCACAAAGCAGGATTTTTCAGTTAGCCTGAAAACTTAGACCAAAACACACCTGTCCAGTAGGAGAAGAGCTGAGCAACAATCCTATTGGACAAGCCACAACCTTTGGCTTAAGTTTTCTAGCTTACTGAGAAAACCTTCTTTGTGAAATACCATCCAAGCCAGTTGTGAACTCAAAATGATGATTTTTTACAGATTTAACTGTGAAGGCTAAACAACTTCAAGAGAAAACAAACATTATAACTGAGAGAGACAGACAGCTAATGGAGAGAGAAAAACAAGTTGAGGAGAAAGACAGACTTCTGACAGAAAAGACAACAACACTTCAGATGAAGGAGAAGATTTTAGAAGAGAAAGACAAACTTCTCACAGAGACACAAGATGAACTGAGACAAACAACAAAGACATTAGAGAATCATAGAAAACAAATGGAAGAAATGGAGAAAAGACTTGTGGAGAAAGATGAAGAATTAAAAGAGACAAAACAAGAACTGAAAGATAAAAACACGATTATAAAAGAACATTTAGAGACTGTTGATAAGAGAGATTCATTATTAAAGGAAAATAATGAAAGATTAGAAAGTGTTAATAAACAGCTTAAAGATAAAGACTCACAACTGGAGAATCAGATCAAACTGCTGAGAGAGAAAGAGACTCTACTGGAGATCACAGTGAAAGAGGAGGAAAGCAGTAAAAAGCAGCTGGAGACTCTGAGAAAGGAACTGCAGGACAAGAGTAGCAAACTACAGGAGATGATGATCCTACTGGAACAACAGAAAACTGAAGTGAGTGAAAAAGACAAACAGCTTGAAGAGAAGGAGAGACTTCTAAGTGAGAGAAACACACAGCTAATGGAAAGAGACAAGCAGGTTGAGGAGAAAGACAGACTTCTAGAGGAGAGAAACAAGCAGCTGCAGGAGAGAACAGATCCAGACTCAGCAGCTCCAGCCAGGAGGAGAAACAGCAAGAAGGGCGAGACTCCAACCTGTAAGTAACTACTAAGATTGCTTAAAGATACTCTGCTCAAGATTTTAAATGGTTAATAAATGTATGCATGGCTATGAAATATTTACTGCACACTGTAGATTAAACTACATATAAAAATGTATGATTTCTCACTTTGGCAAAAGGAATTAACTAAATAAAACTACACAGCTAAAAAATTCATAACATTCCAATCCAGTCATTCTAACGTGGAATCACATAATAACTAAACCTGCTGATTCCATTAATTAGCTTTCCTACGTGTGCTAATTAGAATCGTCTGGGTTAGTTCATGTTGGTAGGTCAGTACTTCCACTCTTTAAAAAGGGTCACCCACCTCTAAATACAAGTAAGCTAATCATTTGTCACCAGGTTGTTGTGCAAGTAACATAGTGATGTGTAGAGGCCCGGCCCCCAGCCCTCACCTTCAGACACGTGCTGCTGAACGTAACCTGCTCACCCACAAGAGGACTGTTTTAGAGAAGCTCTCCTTTCATTTCCATTCATTTCAGGCTGTCTTAGATCAGATTTGTCCTTGTCTTCTTCTACAATGACTGGACTCTCTGTCATTTAATCCAGAGGCCTGTCAATCATTTTACAGCTTCAAAATACATTTTATTTTTAATATTTTTTTTGTGACTGTACAGCAAATAATGTGATAAAGCTGCATCTTAAAACACTACGTTGTAATGTTTGAAGTAGAAGCTCCTCAATGATATAAAGAATGGAGCGGGATTGGTATAAAATAAATAAATAAATAAAATAAAATAAAATAAAATAAAATAATAATAATAATAACAATAAATCATAATTGAATATTTGTCATATGGTGAAAGTGTACTACTGTGGTAAATGGCTGTGATGATTTATGTTCCTTCAACATGTTCCCAAATTGTTGCTGAGCAGAAAGTGCAGTAATTTGAACTGCACCCTGGAGATCTTATGCATTACGCTGTCAACTGCACAGGAAGCTAATCAGGAAGCGACATGATTGACCTCAGCTGGTCCACAGTGAGAACAGCGGAATCACTGCCAAGACCTTCCCAAAACCTTCCCACCAAGTTAATTGAGCAGCATATCAATCACACTGGTTACTGATGGATTTCTCAGCTCCTAAATGTTCCTATAAACAACACTGGGGCCATTATCTGCAAGTGGAAGGAACATCACTCAAGCATCGACCAGCCATGCACAGGAGCTCCTCCAAAGACTTCTGACCAGGCGGTCAGAAAATTAGTCAGCAGAGTAGTCCAAGAGCCAAGGACCACTCAAAAAGAGCTCCAGAAAGACCTGGCAGCAGCGGGTACACTTATCACAGAGAAAACAACAGGCAATGAAATCCACTGCCACAGTTTCCATTTGCACTCACCCCAGAAGCTCGTTTGAAATTTGCTGCAGGATATTCTGAGCATCCTGTAGATTACTGTGAGAACATGCTGTGGTCAGTTGAGGCAAAAATCTAACTTTATGGCAACAATACGGCATGCCATGTTTGGAGGAGAAATGGCTCTGCATATGATGCTGAATATATCATATCTCCAGGGAAATTCAGCAGTGGAAAATTCATGGTATGGGGCTGTTTCTCTTTTCCTGGTGTCCAAATTTCCAGTGGAGTCCAAATTATCAAAGGGAACATGAATGGAGCCACGTACTGGGAAATTCTTGAGAAGAATCTGTTGCCATCCACCAGGACGATGAGGATGAGATGTGGGTGGACCTTCCAGCAGGACAACAATTGAAAACATACCACAATAGAGAGTCTCAACTGGTTATATCAGAAGACAGTGAAGATGTTGGAATGGTCCAGTCAATTACCAGACTTGTACCCAACAGAAAATTTGTGGAATAAATTTAAAATCGGGATTTTCCAGCAAACACCCCCGCCCCCCCAAAAAAAACTTTGTGAGAGATTAGTTTCTTTGTACAGAAAGTGTCTTGAAGCTGAAACTTCTGTTTGCAATGACAGCTTCAAGACACTTTCTGTTAAATAAATAAAAGTGTTAAATAAATTTCAGTTGTTTCAATAGTGTTCAATACTTTGTTTCTATGTAATTACAATTTATTAAAATTTATTTACTTATTCATTTATTTATTTATTTGAATGTTACTTTTTTATTTGGGAAATATAAAACCTTAAACAGTAAACAATCCTGTTTATATAATTTTCACTTTAAACAGCCCACAAAATTTAACAGCCCACAAACTGTTCAAGAATATAATTCTCATTCTGTCTTGTTCTGCTATTTTGCAGCGAGTGGAAAATTGGAGTGGAAACTCTAGTTTGGCCTCTCCAGTGTCAGTTCCTGTATCAGAGCTCAGGTTGGTGCCGCTGGGGAGGACTGGATGTGGGAAGAGAACAGCAGGAAACACCATCCTGGGCAGAGAGGAGAGGAGCCAGGCTGGAGCGTCTACAGTGAGGCAGCAGAGTGAGAGCAGACAGGGGGAGGTGGCTGGGAGGCAGGTGACTGTGGTGGACACTCCTGACTGGTTCTGTCCTGGACTCTCTCTGGAGGAGCTGAGACAGGACGTGGGACTCTGTGTCCGTCTGTCTGCCCCAGGACCCCACGCCTTCCTCCTAGTCATACCAGTGAAGCAGTCTACAGGAGAGGAGAGAGGCATGCTGGAGAAAATGGAGGAGATTTTTGGAGAGAGATGTTGGAGGAACACCATGATCCTTTTCACTGATACTGATGAAGTCCAAGAGAAGAACGTTGAAGAGTTTGTCCAGTCAGGAAACCAGGAGGTCCAGAGACTCGTAGAGAAATGTGGGAACAGGTTTCACTGTCTCAGCATTAAGGAGAGTGGAGATGGTTCTCAAACCTCAGAGCTGCTGGAGAAGATAGAGAAGATGGTGGAAGGAAACAGAGAGAAATTCTACAACAGTGAGATCTACCTGGAGACACAATCTCAGATCAGAGAGATAGAGAAAAGAATTGTGAGAGAAAGAGAGGAGATAATAGAGACACAAGAAAGAGAAACTAGAGAGAAACTTCAGAGATGTGTACAGGAAACTTTCTTGAAGTTCACTGAAACAACTTCTAAATTTCATACAAAAATAAATCAGCATGACGAGCGAATAACTAAACTAGAGGAAATGCTAAAAGAGGAAAGAGATGAGAAGAAAAAGGTAGAGCTGGAGAGAGAGGTGGAGAGAGAGATTCAGCAGAGAAATGAGGTTCAGTTGGAGCTGGAAAGATTGAAAGAAGAGACTGAAAAGGAGAAGAGAGAGATGGAGGAGAGACACAGACAGAAGATGGAGGAGATCAGGGAGACGTATGAAGGAGAAGCCAGAATGGAGGCAGAGAGGAACCTCATGAAGATCATCCTGCCTGAACTGCAGAGAAACATTTTGATATCAAAGTCAAAGACGCAGGAAAAGTTCAGGAGGCAGATGGAGGAGAAGGACAGAGAGTTGAAGACACTGGTGCAGAGAGTGGGAGCACTTAGTAGCCTGTTACAGGTGGAGGTCCATAAATACATTGGAAATCAGTAAGATCAATATGCTGAAAATGCTCCTGTATTGCTGAACATACAGACTGGATAGAAAGAGCTTGGTGGGTTTAAGCACTGTTTGTTATTGTAATATTACTGATGTGATGCTTTCTGTACAGACAGTCTTTAATTCATGCTCTTCTATGCTTTTCAGAGATGAACTCTACCATTAACTTGGTGATATACTGATGCGAAGGTGTTAGTGGTTTTGTGAAAGATGAGAACTTCAGTATCTTGTATAATCTGTCTGACAGATTCAGTACATTACTGTGACTTACTTTTAAATGAGTGATTTGAAAATAAAATGTCCTGCAGAATCAGGCCTGTACCTCACTACTTCTGACTCTGTTCAGCAGGCCATTATTTTGCACCTTTGTGACTGCAGAGTCACCTTAATGACTCATCAGCTACCATGAACGGAAACACTAAATCAGTGAGTGGATTCCATTTTGTTATCACTGTATTATTATAATGTAGCAAAACACTGAACAGTAATCAGGTAATTGACTCTGTGATTGTGTTTCTCACTGTAATCTTTTGTGAGCTTCACAGTTTCATACTAATTGGTGCTCTTCTCCAGTGATCAGTATATACTGACATGCCAAAAGTCATGGGACAGGAACTAGTATTGTGTAGGACTCCTTCTAGCCCAGCAAAGTGCAGCAACTCGATGTGACATTGATTCCACAAGTGAAGCGAAGACGCCTGGAGGGATGTTGAGCCATGCTGTTTAGATAGCCACCCACAGCAACATGGTACTTGTAGGTGCAGGATCTCATGGCATACTGCATTATCGAGCTGGAATATTCCATCATGGTGGGGGTACCTGAAGTCCACAAAGGGCTGCAGATTTTCAACAAGCAGTGAAACATAGTGGTCACCAGCAAATGATATGTTTAGATGGACCAGTGGACCCAACCCATGAGAACAGACCCCACACCAGTATGGAACCACCGCCAGCCTGCACAGTGCCTTGCTGACAGCCAGGGTCCATGACACACGAACCCAACCATCAGCCCGAAACAACTGCTACCATGACTCATCAGACAACACCACATGTTGCTAGTCTTCTAGGGTCCCGTTCTCACAAGCAATCTCACAAGTCCAGGTGAGGCGCTGTGTCCGGTGAGTCGCTTGTCTGTTTGCACAGACAATTCTAGCCAGATGCCACTGGTGAAGATCATTAAGCACCCGTGGGCAGCCACTTCGCTTTCCATTGTGGGTAGTAATGCCTTCTAAGATGTATTCCTGATAAAGACATGACACTATGGATCAAGGAATATGAAATGCCTGCACAACTTCGGAAGTGGAATTTCCCATCCGTCTGGCACCCACTATCATGCCTCGTTCGAACTCTGATAATTCACGTTGCCTTGCCATGAGCATGCTGTCCAGTGTTCAACTTCACTCACAAGATAACACCTCACAACTTAAACATGTGTGGCAATGAGAATTAGGATACAAAGCATAAACATACACAAAAACATACTGGACAGACTCTGACCAAATCAGCTGTGGATAAAAGTCAGAAAATGAGAGAAGGTAAAATAGAGCGAGAGAATAAAGGAGAGCAGGGCTATCAGACAGTGAACCACAGAGTCGAAAAATATAAGCTGAAGAGTATAAATGAACTGAGAAGAAAGAAGCAGAAAAAGATAAAGAATAGTGGTGGATGTGATAAATGTTTATTAATTTTAAGGGCCTCAGTAGCTTTGCCCTGGAAATACTTTTTCAGTTGATTGCAAACCAGCATAGCAGCAGAGCTGCACGTAGAGGAGCTGTAAGTGGCAACTGTACAGTGCCAGTATACAGAACAATTTTTGGTCAGTCATTGTTTACATGTGGAGGCATACAGTTTTGGGATGTTTTTCCATTAAAGAACACAAAATGAATTTATTTATTTATTTCATCAAAATAAAACACTGGCTTAAAAAGAAACAAATTACAATAAACAAATTATGAAAATCATTGATATAAATATGTTTACATGCTTAAACAGAGGTGATCAGCCATGACCAAGTATTCCTATGGCTACATATTCACAAATGACTGTATATTTTAAGTTCTGTTCAATTCTATTTGGTGTTTATTGTACATTGTTTTATCTGTTTTGTTTTGTTCTAAAAGCCTAAGCAGGGACAGGGGTTGCAAATTAGCTTCCCTAGAAGCCCTATATACTTTACATGTGCTGCATTTTATGGAAAAATGTTTATCTATATTGACCCTGTCAAATAAATAAATAACAAAAAAAAAAGAAATCTGCAATTTCCCATGCTTGCTTACTACACTGCTGAAACTGAGCACTGACAGGCTGAATCAGAAGGAGGTGGATTAAGGAGAGACAAATCACTTTTTTTTTTTTTTTTTTACATTATTTTTTATTTGTGGGTCTATGCAGATACAGGATTACAGACACTTATGTGTTCCACATTTTACATCATAACCAGAACTAAAACAATACTGGAGGGGAAAATAAATAAATAAATAAATAAATAAATAAATAAATAAACAACCCTTACATAAATATATATATATTCTCATAGTAATGAGTAGGTCAGGAAATACTTGTACCTTGTACATAATTTGACTATTAATTAGAAAGAAAACAGATATATACAAAATACATACAGGGTCATATCACAGATATTGGGAAAGTAAATATTTAAGCTAAAGAGTAACCTCTACCTAGAAGAAGAGGGGGAGGGATGCTAATTACTTGGGAGACTTTTCAGGTTCTCAAAATATGCAATCATGGGATCCAAAGTTCTATGGAATTTTACAGAAGCCTTTCTCGATGAAAACTTAATCTTTTCCAATTTAAGGAAAAGCATAAGATCACAGAGCCACTGTGAGGTCTTCGGTGGATATGGAGATTTCCAATTAATCAATATCCTCCTTCTTGCCAGAAGGGATGCAAAGGCCAAGGCCTCCTTAATCCTATTTGGAATTTTTGAATCTGTGTTAATTAACTCAAATAAACATAATTCAAAATTTAGCACAGTCTCTAGATCAAATACTTCTGATAAACAGTTAGTAATTCCCAACCAAAAACTTGACAAAAACGGGTCAAGTCTAAAACATATGCGTGAGGTCAGCTTTATCTAAATGACAATGATCACATAGCTCATCTATCCCATGTTGACTTTTTGCCAGTTTCACTTTGCAGTAATGAACCCTATGAAGGACCTTGAACTGAATAAGGTTAATCCGTACACATGACGAAGATCTGTTAATTATGTTCATAGCTGATTTCCAAGTTTCTTCAGGCTTCATTTATCATGGGTAATTCCAGAGTATCTTATAGGAGAGTTTTTGGTGGCAGGGAAGGAAAATAAGAGCACTAATTATGCATAAAATTAGGTGATAATTGAAACTTGACTGAAAGATCAAAAAAAGAAGCAAAGACTCCATCAATGTACAGATCTGCAAATCCACTGATGCCCTTTTTATGCCAATCATTAAAGACCTGATCTATGGTAGCAGGAATAAACAAATGATTTTTGCAAATAGGACCAAGATTAGAAAATTGAGGCCAAAATGCCGCCGAAATTGGGACCATATCTTCAAAGTGGATCTAACAACAGGATAAGTTGCACAGGTCGAAATGGGTAGAGGTAAATTAGCTGTTACTAGGGCTGAAAGCGAGGATGAAGTACAAGCATCAGCTTCCCAACTACACCAATTTAACTGTGGGGATTGATACCAAAGTACTACCTTCTGCACATTATCTGCCCAATAGTACTGCATAAAGTTAGGAAGAGCCAAACCACCTTCTTTCCTTTGTCGTTGTAATAAGCTCTTATGTATCCTAGAGATTTTTCCTCCCCACATAAATGACAGTATAATACTATCCACCGTGCAGAAAAAGGGCTTATTCAGGAATACTGGAAGACACTGAAATAAAAACATAAATCTGGGTAGCACCGACATTTTAATAATGCAATTTATTCTACCTGCCAATGATAGATGTAAGGTTTCCCACTTTTGAAGATCTTGTTTCAGGCTATCCAACAATGGTGAAAAGTTCTTCGAATAAAGTTCTTTAAATGATCGGGTAATATTCACACCTAGGTATTTAAACCCTGTTACTGATATTGAAAAAAGTAATACAGTGCTGGGATAAAGGGTATCTTTGTTACATATGCGGAAACATATACTCTTTGAAAAATGTATTTTATAGCCTGAGAAACTACCAAACTGTTTCAACATTTGTTAATTTGTTGTACAAAAGATGCCGGATCAGATATAAATAAAAGCAGGTGGTCTGCATACAAAGCTACTCTATGTTCTGTTCCTCTTCTCCAAATACCCTGAAGGTTAGTAGTTGTTTTAAGCCAGATCGATAAGGGCTCAATTGCTAATGAAAATTAACTTGGACTGAGTGGGCTCCCTTGTCTTGTTGCTCTAAAAAGAGGAAAATAATCTGAATTTATCCCATTAGTAACTACAGAGACTTTAGGAGATGTGTATAACAAATGAATCCAAGATATAAATTCAGGGCCCAAACCAAACCTTTTCAGTACTGCAAACATATATTCCCATTTCACTCTATCTAATGCTTTTTCTGTGTCAAGCGATATAACAACCTCTGGCGATTCTGACGGAGAAGGCGAATATATGATGCTAAAGAGCCTACGAATATTCGAAAACAAATAACAACCATGCATAAATCCTGTCTGATCTGCTGAGATTAATTTGAGAATTACCTTTTGTAACCTAGTTGCAAGTAGGGGCCTTACTACTTTGCATTTTAGAAATCGAATCTAGTATTTCCTCAATTTGTATTGGTTCATCTAGCTGTGTTTGAAATGCAAAATTGAGTTTAGGAACATCTAAACCTTCCAAGAATTTAGTCATTTCTGAATAATGATTTGAAGATTCTGAGGAGTACAGTTCCTTATAATATTCTTTGAAGGTACTATTTATTTGTATAGGGTCATTTGTGAGGTTACCATTTGTAGTGCGAATCTGTGGTATAAGCTGAGCAGCTGCTCCAGTTTT